AAGACAGGGTCTCTTTATTTAGTCCCGGCTAGCCTAGAACTCTAATGTAGACCAGGTTGGCCTCAAACTTAAGAGCTCTGCCTGCCTCTACCTCTCAGATACTGGGATTAAAGGTGTGTACTACTACCTCCAGGCTAAATAATGTTTTCTTAGTAAGAGTTTTTCAATCTCCAATTTAAGCTTACACTTCCAAAGGGTAAGTTTCCATAATAAACTGCAAACTAAATGGAATCTATCCTTCAAAATTGCCAAATATGTGACTCCTATCAGGACAGCAGATCAAGGGACAAATCTGCTGCTAAGAGTTTAAAAACCATACAGAGCCGGGCAGTGGTGGCGCACGCCTTTAATCCAAGCACTTGGGAGGCAGAGACAGGCAGATTTCTGAGTTTGAGAGTTCGAGGCTAGCCTGGTCTACAGAGTGAGTTCCAGGACAGCCAGGACTACACAGAGAAACCCTGTCTCAAAAACCAAAAAAAAAAAAAAAACAAAAAACATACAGAATATATAGTGCCCATTTCTTCAATTTTCCTTATTACTGACTCATTTCAAGGGCTGACAGTGGAGTCTACCTGTGTGGAGCGTTCATACAGGGGCCTTCTCTTTCTGTGAGTGTGCAGTGCATGGAGACCAGGGAGTAAAGCTGTGGGGCTGGGCATCCAGTGCTCGGGTCTACACAATCCAACCCACCACTCACCATCGCTTGCTCTGGAGGAAACCGCTTTGGCATCCATGGAATGTTTCCTCCTGTCTTTATGTTTGCCTGCCTGATTATCTGTGGAAACAGTAAGCTACATCTTTACAGAGATATTAGTGACATAGTAGCAAAACACATCAAACTAAATGCTAACAGTCCACAGGTGTTAGAACCTGAACAGCATTTACCACACCACAGAACCCAGCGCTGTGCTCAGACACGGGCCACACACACCATAGAACCCAGCACTGTGCTCAGACATGGGCCACACACACCACAGAACTCAGCACTGTGCTCAGACACGGGCCACACACACCACAGAACCCACTGTGCTCAGACGCGGACCACACACACCTTGGTTTTGGGGGCCTTCATTTACTCAAAGTCTAAATTTTACAGAGTCCAAAGACATGAGGAAATAACTAGACCAGACGACCTTAGTAGAGGTTCTCCTATTGTACTTAAATAAAACAGAGGGATTTCCCCTCATTTTCCCTTGTCCCAATAGAGAACAAAACCTTTATCTTCTCAGCAACATCCTGGAGAATGTTCTCTCTTTCCTAGGGTCACATGTGAAGCAGTGTGGGGTGCAGTGTCAGGATAATTTGCCCTTCTCCCTGACTCCCATTTTCACTATGAACTCCTCTCTAGCCCTTGCCTGGAATGGTCACTTCCCGTCTGCCCCTCTGTGCGCCTGTGAGTGCCTCTTGTGGGGATGAGAGCTTAGTGAACTACAACTTACATCCCATCTCACAGAAAAGGAAACAGGGAGCACCAGAGGGTGAGTGCAGAGAGCGGCAGGGTGGAGTCTATGCCTCTCAGGATGTGGTGGAGCTCTCTGCCTTGCTTGGCACCCTTATCAGATTCTTTTTCCTCTGCCCAAGGCATGATCCCAGTTCAGGCCCTAAGTGCTCCTCCTAACACACCATGACAAAGGTTTGTCACCTGTTCTGTTTTGTGGTGCTGTGACTGGAACTCACAGCCTTGAGTATGCTGGGCAAGCATACCACCACATAGTTATGTTCACAATTCTGCTCTTAGCTTCCTGACCCAACATAAGCCGGAATCCCTCCTCTATACGCACATGTGTGGACTTGCAAAGGCTACTGATGACTGCCTTCTTGTTGCTGGCATCTTACTGGAGGAGGCAGGGAGCCCTCTTTCTGGCTACTTCCATCTGCAGAAGCCTCGTTCTCCTGGCTTTCTGTCCACCTAACTATTCCTTCCTCCACTTTTGCATGCTGTCCTCTCCCTTGGCCCCTAGCATTTCCAAACGCTAGATTCCAACCCTTCTAGCCTCGTTTCTTTCTGTTTTAGACAAACACAACCTCCTTCAGAGACTTGAAGTGCCAGGGTTGGGAGGATACTCAGGGGACCCCACCCACTCAGAAGAGAAGGGGAAGGGTGAAGTGAGAAGAATGTAAAGTGAATAAGTAAAAAAAATAAAACTAAATTTTAACAAAACAAACACACACCCCCTCCCCGCTTCCTGCTCTGTCATCTTCTCTGGAGCATCAGATTTACATCTTGACAGGCACTGGCCATCTCCATTTGGACACTTTTCAGCTACTACAAGTTAACTCATTATCTAAAACGGACTTACCCTTTGCTAACTCTGCTCTTTATACCCAAGCACTAGACAGGATCTACCCACCTGATTGATACTCTACCACAACCAGCAGAATTAAATAAACCATATCATCAGCTCTTTCTATCATCCTTAGGATCAGCTTCCAACTCCCCCAGGCTGGCACTCGGAACCCCACAGAGCTGGGCCTGACTCTCTAGACCCCCATCAGTCTTTATGTTGTGTCTGTCCACCCCCCAACAATCTATACCTTGGTACAAACTGCTTTTTAGAATGCACGTCTCTCATGTTGCCTCCTGTCCCTCGTTAACTCTGCTCCTCTAGAAGATGCAGTTTAGATACTGTAAACTTTGGGAAACCTTCCCTGTATGCCTCCCCATCCCATCACAACTGGCTTTATTATCTGTCTTGCCAACTGAACAATCCGGGGAAAGAACAGTCTTTCCTGGATGGCCAAGAACATACCTAGCACTACAGCAGACACTCAGTAAACACATGCCTGTCTCGCCTGATACCTGCATTAACCTGTGCACAGACGAAAGGGCCGTCGGGCATAAGCGTTCAGAGTCTAACCCCACTGTTCGGCGTCTACCAGAGTATTAACTCCCTGGCTTTCAGAGGCAGGTGTAGTCTGCCTTGCATTTCTCTCTGGTCTTTAGCTCAGTCCAACTGCTCTACTCACTCTCGGGAGAGTCTTGACATCTGTGAAGTGACTGGCCCCAGATGCTCACTCCTTCAAATGGCACACCTCCCTTCAGCCATACGCACTGATAAGTGTCTCTCCTTTATGGGCAATGAATTGTTTCTGTTCCCTTTCATCATCTTCTCAGCAAATATTTACCAAGCGCTTACCCTGTAGCTACGGCTAGGACTGGAGGTGTGCTTCAGATCTTGACTATCCCTCCAAGCACCAGTGTTAACAGACTGCCGCTCCAACCAGGATGGTGCTTTGGGGTCTAAGAACTTACACCTCACTTGTTCCCTATGGCTTTCTTGAGGATTGACTCTGAGAGCCGGGGAATGAGACACAGGGTCAGGGTACGCAAAGTGCCTTTAAAAGTTAGGTGATCTGTGATACGTGCTCAGGCCCCTTCCTTTTTCTCTATTTTGTCCTCTGGCCAAGAAGCGGTGGTTTCTCTTTCCCACATGCTCCCACAACATGTTGCCTCACTGGAAGCCGAGCCATCACGGATAAGTGATGACTAACCAAACCGTCCAAAATGGTGAGCCAAAAGAAAACGGTGAGCCAAAAGAAACGGTGAGCCAAAAGAAACGAGCCTTTCTCTCCGTAAGTTAGTTATCTCAGAAAATCCTTCGAAGTACTAAGGACATGATAACGGACAGAGCTGTGTCCTCGAAAGGTGGTGGAGTCTAGTGGGGAGCAAGGCAGGGAGCGTGATTATCGTAATGATTTGCAGTGAAGGAAGAGCTGGAGCAGAGCAAAGAGGAAGGAGAGAGAGTGAGATCATGGATGAGATCAGGATGGGGCTGTGGAAAAGAGAAAAGAGAGAGGAGGAGATCCAATTTCTACCGAAAGACTAAGTTATTTATCTACGTAAATCCTAGATCCTCTGCTCAAACAGCCCTGTCAGGAATGCTGTTTCCACTGTGTCCATGTCGCTCTTTGTATGTGGCTCTTGGGCAACTTTCACCCAGCAGGCTGGAGGTGGGCCAGACATGCCTTGACGCGGCCCAGCTCCCAGATGTAGCCCTTAAGGCAGGCACATCCAGGGAACCAGTGAGTAAGCATGAGGGTCATTCCTAAAAGACTGCAAGCTCTGAAGAAGCACCATGTCCAGGGCCTCACACAGTAGTGGACGCTCAACAGGTAACACACCACTCTGATGTTATCTATGCCTATGCATGGAAACAACTCCAAACAGGCCTCCATGTGTGGGCTCTGCAACTCTGTTCTTGGTTTTCTGTTCTATAAAATGGGATCCTTAAAACTCTGCTCATGTTTTCAGAGACATTAATAGTTTTGTAGCCTGATAGGACAACCCAGGGAATTTTGGAGAAGCAGTGTTGGGCAATGGAGGTCACTGTCTCCAGTCAGCACCCTAATGGCATGAACCCTTTGGCCTGGAAGCAGGAATTCCAGTCTGAATACGAGAAAGCTGAAGCCAGGTATCTTACCCAACATACCCACAGGTTACTGCACTGTGATCTTGGCACACTGCTAACACATGTGCTCAGGCACCCAGCAAAAGAGGCCTGTGAGAAGTGCCAACCTGCTAGCCCCACGCTCCCTGGCCACCTCCAACATTAGGCAATGGTACCAGAGCTTATCATGTGACAGCAAGCCAGAACAAAGTTTATACTCTGTCACTACAACCATTTTTGTGACAGCTTTAGTGAGATATAACACTGTCTGAAAATTATACATAGGCTAAGAAAACTGTAACGTGTGGGGACTTTATTATTTTCCTACACACCCTGACTCTCAATGTCCTTTCTCGTGGCTGGGGAGTTCTAGGACCTCCCTTTAAAGAAGAGAGGAATCCAGGGACTGCTGGCTCCACATATAAGTAGCAGGTAGCCTAGGCGGAGCCAAATGAGCACCTGCTCAGAGTCTTCTCTGGAGCAAGTGACTAGAAGCCTGGATCTTGCCAGAGCCAGTGGTGCCCAACCATGGCGTTCCTGTGGCATGCCCAGCTCAGAGGGAGACAGCTGCCCAGTATCCTTTGGTTCCCGACTCCTTCCCAATTGTAAGGTGCTCTACTTCCTTCCAATAAGCCCCACCTCTGCTTGAGGACTTCTGGTGTGGGTCTAACAGCCCCACCTGCCCCACTGTGGCAAAACAGCTCCACACCTTCAGGGATACAACTATTCTGCTGCCCGGGAATGCAGATGGATGAGGCGGTGGCTTGTCAGGGTGATGGCAGCAGGACCTCAGGGAGCACTAATCAAGCACAAGTACAAATGGTGTTGCACATGAGGCGGGAGACTACTGCCTTGCCTGTACTTGCCCGGCCATCCACTGATAGCCTCCCAGGTCCAGTTCTGTCATTTCCTGTGCCTAACTCTAAACTGTCACTTAACTCTCTTGACACTTGTTTTTTTTTTTCGTCTGTAATAAAGGAGTGTTGATAACAGTCATATCCACTTCTCAGGACTGCTCTGAAGAACTAAAACTAACAAAATACCACTAACAGCAAAACCAAGTGATGTGCTGTGAGCCTGCAGCACAGAACTGCACAGCAGGCCCTGTCTGCCACTCCTATTTCTCTCCACAGTACCCTGAGGCTTGGCTTCTGCCTCACTTTCCTCTGAGACTGAGCACTGACAGCTTTTAGTACCTCTTTGCCCTGCACCCTCTGTGTTACCCAGTCCTTCTCTGCTTAACCCCTGCTCTTCTGTCAGGTACTCACTCATAGGGACTTGCCTCACACTGTCTGTCATTCTCTCCCACAGTAACCTTAATGTTCTTCCGTTTACACCTGGGCTTCACCTCAGCAGTCCATGTCTTCAGCACTTGCTGATGCTTTTCTGGTCAGAAACATCTGCATCTTTAGTCTTTACCTCTTTGAAGAGACTAGGAACCAGTGATGCTCACTGTAAATCACTGGTAACGGGACTGATAACTGGTGGAGAGGTCCATTTTCATCTCCCCAGGCCTATCTATGGCCACCCCTAGTTCTCCTGGCTCAGACCAGCTCTTTGGTCTGTCTTTCCTTCTGTCTTCTCTCTAGCCCTGTGTCACCATGTTCCCCTTCTCCTCCTTATTGTTATCTCATTTTTTTCCAGCCAATGTTGCCTCTCCTCTCAGTCATGATGTGAGCAGCACACCCTTCCATGTGAACAGCTGCAGACACAATGTAAGAACTTCTAGAATTCAAGTTACCCACTGCCCCGAAATCCTCAAAGACTCCCATTGCCTTTGGATAAAACGCTGATTTCCTCCCTGGCCTTTAAGGACCACTATTAATCCAAACTCCTTATCCTGACTTACTCTTCGTTCCAGTCTACACTGACTGTCCCCTCTTCCGCAGCATCTGATGGAGAGTCCTCACAGACCAACAAGTAGCTTGCCAAAGCCATGCCTTATGTCTGAAGGAAACAAGCCCTCTGAGCCAGAGAAAAGCCTGTGTAGTAGGACAAACGGTGTCTGAGGCTTGATTAGAAGACACAAGATGAGGCAAATCTGATGCTACCTATAGGATGGTAGTGACCACCATTTGCCCCGTTGACAATGTCTCTGCTAACGTACTTGGTAATCCCCTCAACCCTGTCTTCCCCTTAAAGCTCAGTTCCAGTTATAAAATCCTACTTCATCCAAAAGACATGTCTGTCTGCACACGTGTCAGGCATTAGATCAGTTCTCTCCACACAGGCTAGCACCCAGGCCAGGCACTGGTCAAGACGCTCACGGCACTCAGTCCTCAAACCATGTGGGGCTAGGTTGGCCCAGGAGAACAGGGTCCCACCACCGTACAAAGCAGGCCAATTATAGAAAGGATCTGTGAGCTTCCCCCTAGATGCTCAACCTTGAGAAGGAACAGGGCCTCATACCTGTTTGACTATCCGTCTGAACACACTCGGTTGTGGTCTCAACCTAGAAATGAATTTTACGAGCCATCAGTTTTGATCACGTAGAGTGCTTGCTTGAGTGATCTGGTCCTGGGCTCCCTTTACCTACCTTACTGTTGCCATTGCACACTCTGATAATGGACACATAGTGTCTGATTTTTCTGTAAGTAGAAAACAACACGTTATTTTTTTTCCTGACTCTAACTGGGTGAATATATAGTAACTTTTCATTACGAAAAGAATACTTCCTTTTAGCAATATATGAAATGCTTTTAGAGCATTTTTTCTTCTAAAAAAATATATATTTTATATGGAGGTCAAGGCCACCAATAAGTGAACCAAACTTTACAAACACCCTTTTATGTCTTTGGGGAAAAAAGAAGGGACTTCAGTAGTCACTTCCCTAGTTTTGACAACAGACAATACAAACACACATGCTTTTAACAGCCTGCTACATGTTAGTTTCCTGATGAGTTACTTCGATCAGCATTGATACTGATCTCTTGAGTTCCAGCAGTTTGCTTATAGTCACTCACGGGGGGAGTCGCAGGCCACAGAGGCCCCACAGGCCCCACAGAGGCCCCACAGGCCCCACAGAGGCCCCAGAGGCCCCACAGAGGCCCCACAGGCCCCACAGGCCCCACAGAGGCCCCACAGAGGCCCCACAGAGGCCCCACAGAGG